TAGAAGCAGCTGAAGAAATCGACTCAAAAGTCGATGGCAGAGGCTATTGGTAGACCGGCGGATACAGGAAGGACTTAAATATCCGCTAAGCATTGCCAACGGTCACACCTCTGCTAGCCGCTAGTAGTTATAATAGGGGAGAAAAATTGACAAGGAAGGAATTAACCAGAGGATATAGTGTACTCGATTCAAACTCAGAACTCGGCTGCATACGCATCTATGCAACCTTAGCACAGGCACATATTAATACAGCTATGGACAAAGAGCAAGAGCGGGAAGAAGAAAAGGCCAAAACAAGCAAGGTGTGAAAGCTCTGTAACAAACCAAGACAGCAGTCAAAATGAAGCTACGCTTAGATGGAAAGGTTACTTTTTCGTCTAAGTAGGGAGGCTGACCTGAACTGGGTCCTTGATGCTGTTGCAAAAGATAGAGAGCATTTCTGGCACACTCGAAATATTGACGATGAGGCATCCTGCATTTGTCAACAAGATTGAAGAGAACATTGCGAAAAAACTAAAAAAAAAAAACGAAACGAAAAAACGTTAAAATTGGAACGTTCAGCGAAATATTAGAAATATGTTGCAAAACTTCTTCGTGCACAGAAACCTGCTATTTCTTTTGATCAGCTAAGAAGTTCCAGGAAGGTGATTAAGGTATGTCATGCAGCCAAAAGACACTTGATCATCGAGATGATCGATCTGAATTTCTCTGATGGACAGATTAGGCCGGAACAATGAAAGCAGTTAGATAACAAATTCTGAGAAATAAATGTTCCTTGGATGGCGAACAAGCAAGTCCAACTAACTTTTTTTATAGAACGGGAGATTTTGGGCAAAACGATTTTTTAGTATAACAATGATTTCCTAATTAAATGGCGCACGGGGTTCCCAGGAAATTAGATCGAGTATGGTAGAGTCTTGGGTTGATAGTAGCCGTCGATTTTAAGTTTACCGAAAGCAAAATTCGAGGAAAACCCAAAGGTCATTCTGCTACTTTTCCCGTGGATCAGAAGATGCGTAGGCAGGTCTGACGCCAACAGAGCTCGAAATCTGTTCCTTCAGATAAATGGGGAAGCCGAAGACAAGTTCGTTTGTTAAGAAGTTAATCAGTATAATACCCTTCGCTTTTGGTTTCTATTGACAAACTTAAGCATGGAGTTTCTTTCAAAATAATGTATGCCGCTAGCTTTCCTAAAAGGTAAACATTGAGAGGTGGGATACTCTATTGAGAAGCTCAGTACAAACATTTTTGTAATAACAGCTAGGAACCCGATATCGAACAGAAAGTATCGATATGGTACTCATTTAAAGTATCGCATTAAAAATATCGGGTACCCATTAATATCCAAAATCCAAAAGTTTATCTGAATATAGGTCTCGTATATAGGCCGCTGTGGTGTAATGGTTAGAATTGCANCAAAATCCAAAAGTTTATCTGAATATAGGTCTCGTATATAGGCCGCTGTGGTGTAATGGTTAGAATTGCACAAAGCTTGAAAATGAAAAACAGCTTCCCATTAAAACAAAATCGCCGTTCAGAGTCGACATAAAACTGTAGGGGCCCCTCTTGTGTCACAACACGCGCGACAAATCGGAGGAGGATCTTGGTCAAACACTAACATATTCTTGCCCTACAAGGCGAGGTTAGCTGTGTGACATTCTCTGGACTAAGATTTTGCATGGTTGGGTTAGATATATGGGGAACGGAGAGTCTGGAAAGTTGTCAGAGAAGTAATGACTCCCACGTAAAAATGCTTGACTGAGTGCTTGGCGGAGTTTTCTGACCTACCACAAATCGAATCCTTTCAATTCCAATTCTGTGGTAACGGCTGGGGAATGAAAATATCACAGGCAAAAGGTCATTCAAACACTATTATGAACGACTTCATATTTTTTAAACCTTCAATATTTCATAACCTCTTTTTCATAAGATAAAACTTTCTTGTGACGCAGATGTAAAATTGCAGAATGCGACACGGTTTCCAGCGCCTACGAAGAGTACTGGACACAATTCGGTATTCCTCCGAAAAGTAATGGACTGGACCAATGTAATCGCTTTGCGAGTAATTATACTATAAACCAAACAGTTTCTACGACACCTGCCGATGAGTCAATCGGATTGTGCTATGCGCACAATTTCGATAGCAGTAAAAAGGAGAGGTGTAAGGACAACGATTTCATATTTCGCGATAAGGAAGTGACGATAGCGAATGAGGTTTGTACCAACCCAAAAATAGAAAATAACTGCAAAAATAAGCAGCAAGTTTGTATTTTTTCGCAAATAGTTCGGTATTTACTGCGAAAACGAATGGAAGTTGGCCATGGTGGGCACAATTGGCAATCTGGGACAGTTCGTCGGCATACCCTTGGGCGGTGTCATATCAGATCGGTAAGAGTCGGCGGGTTTCTTCACCTGGAAGCAAATTTTAGGTTTTTATTTTATTATTTTTTCTACAACTATCTCCGCTCAGGTATGGCCGCCGGAACGCGCTCGCACTTGGCGGATTCTTTAGCGCCTTCTTAGGACTAATACGCTCATTCACACCCAGCTACACTTCTTTTATAATTTTCGAATTCCTCGACAATATCGCCTCGAGTCCAATGTATCCGATATGCTTCATTTTGGGCGTTGAGTTAGTCGGTCCACAACGGCGTGTGATCGCCTGTAGCATGATCACCATTTTCTATGCCATCGGCGAAATTCTACTAGCAGTTGTTGCAAAGTATTTTCAAAATTGGCGGCTTATCTTACGCATCGTTTACGTACCGGCGATAGTACTCATCAGCTATATTTGGATACTTCCGGAGAGCATACGTTGGCTGCTGAGTCAGGGTAAGGATGAGGATGCCAAAAATATACTACGACGCGCTGCCACGGTGAATAAACGCCAACTTTCCGATGATTCGCTGCACAAATTAATTTCAGCGAATCGTGAAAAGTTAGCAACAGCCACAGATGGTCGCTTTCCCATCAAGGAGGCATTCAAACAGCTCTCATGGCGCATCATAAATTGCTCTTTCAGTTGGATTGTCATTGTGTTGGTCTACTATGGCATCAGCTTAAATGCGGTGCTCCTGGATGGTGATAAATATAATAATTTCATGTTTATTTCATTAATCGAGTTACCCGGCTTCTTTTTGCCGTTTCTTATCATGGATCGCTTTGGCAGGCGATACTCGCTTTGCGCTACCATGTTGTTAAGTGGGATTTGTTGCTTGATAACAGCTTTTCTACCGGCAGGTAAGTAGATAAATAAATATAATAAAAATGTCTGGCTTATCGGTTGCTAACATAGTTTTTTTGTTTGTTTGTTTTTTTTTTTGCTTTTATAATTTCAGATGACTTCGCGTGGCGTTTGACGTTGTTCCTAATGGGCAAGCTTATGATTACAGCCGCATTTCAAATATTGTATTTCTTCACATCGGAAATCTTTCCAACAAATATACGCAACAGTTTGCTCTCCTTCTGTTCGATGGTGGGCCGAGTGGGTTCAATGTTGGCGCCACAAACACCTGTGCTGGTGAGTAGAAGATACATATCACGAAGTTCAAAATGTTTGAAACCCTGCGCGAAAAAACACTCAGGTTTTCAATGAAGGTCCATTAGCTATTATCATTCTCTTTATCCAAGCCTCGGCTCGAGGAACCGTGCTGCGTTTATATGCGCTGAGCATAGGGCTTCTGATGTCTAAGTCAACAAGCAAATATAATAAGCAGTATGTAATGATGGGCTTGTCCCATTGTACGGCAGGATTTGTCCCTAGGTATGGAGACAAGAGAAGTAGCAGTACTGATCCACTTGTGTTTGATCCTACTTGAGCCATCGCCTTTCGTGAAAGCTCCATCCCATCGGTGTTGATAGAAGAAGGACAGCCACCGTGTCTGATATTGTTGTGTCGTGTGCTCAGGCAAGTCCGCACATGCTCTAATTCGTATGGGTCAATCCATGTTAAAATGGTCAATGGTTGGAATCGACCGTTTTTTATTTGGACCAGTTTTGGTCAAAACTTTTTTTTATCATAGAACAATATTCCTCCAGATATAAAAAAATTTTAAAAAATTTTCGAAAGTTTAAAATTTTACACTTTTTCCGGATTTTGCAAGTTTATCTTTTTGGATATCTCATCTGTTGCACAAATGGTTCTGATCTCGTTTGAGATTAAAAAATATATCTAAAAAACGTGCGAAAAAATAAATTACAGAATGTTGAAATTTTAAAAATCGTAAGAGCGAAAACTTAAATACAAGTTTGGCTCTTTTTTTTTATACAATACTTCTAAAAATCATAAAAGATATTGGGATGATAAAAATTATGTTTTTTTTAATTTTTTTAACTTTGAAACAAATTTTTTACGACTCTAAATTTAAATAAATTTCAATGCAATAAAATTGTTTAACATAACTTTATTTAAAATTAGCAAATAAATTCAAATTATATCTTATATCTTAAAAAACACCGTCAGGTGAAGGTATTGTATAAAAGGCTCCCCAAAAATGTTTGTATCTAAGTTTTTGCTTTTACGATTTTTTTACTATCAAAATTCTGAATTTTGTTCTTCGATTTTCTTTATATATTTTATAGCCCTAAAACGAGTCAACGATCCACAAATTTTTATCTAAATTTCGAGCTTATTAACCGAAATTTTTTTTAATTTATGCAGCTAATAAGATTATACAATTTTAGTAAAATTAGTGCAAGTTTTGAGGGGCTAAAAAATCGCATTGATTTTTAATATTTTTTTTTTTTTTTGTTGACGGCGTTTTGAACTTTTTTTGAGGAGGAATATGCGCAAGACCTTTTGCAAAAAAAAACAACAAATAAAGTCAACGCCAGTTTTCTTAAATTTCGGTTTTTATATGAAAAAAAACCGAAAAAGCCATCAGCAAAAAAAATTATTAAAAATCAATTCGCTTTTTTAGCCGCCCAAAACATACACTAGTTTTACTAAAATTTTATAATCCTGTTAACTGCATAACTAAACTGTTAAATGCATAATTTAAAAGAAATCTGGTTAAAAAGCTCGAAATTTAGATACAAATTTGTGGTATTTTTCTGAATTCTGTATAAGGTTTGAAAGTGTGATTTATGAAAAAATATCAAACAAATTTTTGCTTAAAAGACATTGTAAATATTAAAAATCAATGCGCTTTTTTAGCCGCACAAAACTTGCACTAGTTTACTAAAACTTTGTAATCCTGTTAACTGCATAGCAAAAAAAAATTTAAAAAATTCTGGTTGAAAAAGCTCGAAATTTAGATAAAAATTTGTGGAGTTTTTCTGAATTCTGTATAAGGTTTGAAAGTTAATAGTTTTTATATTTTCTGTTAAAGCATGATCCATATTTTTATAAAAAAAAAAAAAAAATTACTTGAAAAACATTGTAAATATTAAAAACGACACACCATTCATAAATTTTTGAACGCCACTGTATCTATTTTCAATACCACATATTTTTAAACCATTATACGGGGAAACCAATTAACAGGGTTCAATTATGCGGGAAAATTCACATGGATATTTTATGCAATATCTTTTTACCGATAAGTTAATTCAAATAAGCGGGGAAATCAATTAACCGGGGGACAATTAAGCGGGGAATACTGTATGTCTTTATTTGAAGTGGTGCTAGTAACTAAGCAAATTTTGTCCCTATAAATTCCCAGAATATGCCCAGCGTTCGATCACAATTAATAAACTAAATACTTACCTACATACATATGTACATAGTATGTATTTATTATTAATTTCCTTCTAAATTAAATATTTGTTGTGGTATTTATTGAAGCAATATTTTTATATCTCCTTTTTACAGGCTAAATTTCACGAAAATGCTCCAGCGATATTGTTTGCTGTTTGTGCAATTATCAGCGGCCTTTTGGCGCTTTTCTTTCCCGAAACAACAAATATTGTGCTGCCAACAACAATGCATGATGCACATAATATAGGAGCTAAACAGCACAATGAGAAAACAAAAGTAAATTCGTGTAGAAATTTAAGTTCATGAAAATACGGACTAATTAATTTAAGTTTCCAGCTTTTTTCTATATCAATTAAAAGCTGTTAAGTTATTTCATTTTAATTTGCATACGAGTTCCTCAAAGCGCTTGTATTGTTTCCCTATTATGTGTGAAATAAAAAACATTAAAAAAATTGCTATCTTTTAAATGAGGACTGCACTTTTTGGTACTAAGCTCGGCCAAACACTAACATATGTGTGTGTAAGCGCCAATTTATTATTCTTTATTCTTCATCCATATCGGCACAGCATGTAACCGCGAAAAGAGGATTTGTAAGTAACAGAATTTATGGAACTTCATCGAGAAACAAATGAATTCATCACTTCTGAAGGATATCAGTTTGTAACCGCGGCGTCTACAGTGGAATCCAGTTAGAGACTTCGTGCCAAAAGAGGCGTTAGTATAATGGCAAAAATAAAAATAAAATTGCTAAACAGTTAAAGCCAAAAACGTGGGAATAGTGTAGCTTTCCTTGGTTAGATTAGGTTGGATTGACTGCCTGCATCACATTCTATCCAGGGATGGAAAATAAAATTTTCAAATTGTTTGAGGCAAAAATTTTACCTAACAGCAGACGAATTTATCTAAAAAATTATATGTCCATACATTTTGTGACATGAAATGTGTCACGGCAAATCTGTTAAGCCATACAAAATTACGACGAAAATCTGCCTGATATTGGGATTGACATTCTGTAACACTTCAAATTGGAAGAACTTTTCGAGGTCAAACAAAGACAAGGCGTATAATTTTCTTGCGTCAACACTCGTCTACGTGCTGCACTAATTTGCCAGCTGTCACTGGGATGCTGCTTCTGAAACATTGGTTCGCCCAAACCTCTTATATAAGCTTGGTATTTTCGAACATGTCGCCAAAAATTCATGATTCAGCTTCTGATAGGTCTACTCTGTATGTACATATATAATAATAATAGATTGGCGCTTACACATAGTATGTTGGTTTTTGGCCGAGCTCCTCCTCAGATTTGTGGCATGCGCAGATTTTGACAGCCATAACTCTTAAAGTTTTAATTTGTTGTTAATTTGTCGTGATTAGCATGCCTAAAAACCAAATTCAGTGGCATTTTGAAAAATATTGTTTTTTTTCGAAAAATGCACAGTCCATTTGACAGCTGTCTCCTGTCATGGTTTTTATTTGAGATAAAATTCGTGATCAGCATGTCTAAAAACCTAATCAGTGGCATTTTTTAAATTATCGTTTTATTTTCATAAAAATTTATAGCCGACTTGACAGCTGGCAACTGTCAGAGATTTAATTTGGCTTAAAATTCGTGATCGTCATGTCAAAAAACGTAATCAGTGGTATTTTCAAAAAGATTTTCTTAATTTTAGAGAAATTGGCACTTGATTTGACAGTTCTCAACCGTCAAACTGTAAATTTTATGGCATATTGGGATTTAGCATTGCAACAGTACTACGATCTCGCAGTTCTATTATAATCGTAGCAGCACTTCTAATTTTTCGCGTAAAACATGGCTTCTCCGACCTCTGTGCGGCGATTGTATTTTTATGAGAAGCTGTTTTTCATGGCAGGAATACACTCGGAGGTTTTCCATTGACTGCCGAGTTGTGTTCGCTGTTACGAAAAAACCTTTTTCTACATTTTTCTGCGATGTTGCTTTGGCAGGGCTTGAACCCAGGAACTCCGGGGTGGAAGCGCGCACTGTAAAGCAATCGATATTTGAAAATGTGTTTTGACCTAAATATTTCATGTTAAATGCAATTATATTTAAACCTCTCTAGCATTTACACAATTTCAGGAGAGAATCGATAGAGGTGGTTTAACGGGGAACGAGGAAGTCAAATTACCCCCCTGCAACAAAAAAAGGGCCCTTAATCATTAATTGTTAATCATCTCTTTTGGGATGGTATAGTTAAAATCGATGGTATCGGAAAGGAAAAGGCTCTGCTGGGGCCGAATAAATTAGGTGTATGTCAAAAAAGCTACCAAGGAGATATTTTTGAAGGGAATCATTGTCGGAAACTTCTCAAAGAAGCGGACAAATTGCAGGATCCTGAAATTTATGAGTTTGTAGGGCCATTACGATTACAGCCTTATATTGCCTCGTTCAAAGCCATGAACAAAATCGTGAATACATGCTTTTCCGAAAAACAAGCGGAGCTTAGTAATTTTGATAAAAATCTTAACGAACCCCACACATCTTTGAAAAGTACTGGAATTTCTCAAACTGTCAAAATCCATATTATCCTTGAACATTTAAAGCAATCTATTTCATTCTTGAATAAGGACGGTTTAGGATTATGGTCCGAGCAGGCCGGGGAGTCAGTTCATAGGGAATTCATTAAATTCTGGGATAGATTCAAAATAAATATGATTGATGAACCAACTTTTGTGAGTCGCCTGAAGAAAACTGTAATGACATTTTCATTCCAGCATATATAAAAACTTAATTAAATAATAAAATATTTAAATACTAAAATGTGTGGCTATATTATATTGTAAGCCAACAAAAAAAATAAAAGAAAACAAAAAAATATATAAAAAATAAAGGAAAAAAAATATATAAAAAAATAAAACCAAAAAAAAACAAAGAGGTGCAAAGTAAGTTGCCTCCACGTGGTTCGCCTTGGAAACGATTAAAACCGGCTAAAAACTTACATAAACTTATATTTTCACATAATATATATACACACATTTACTCACACATACATTGTTGAATATTTAATGCACAAGGATCTTTTTCTCTTTCGCAAAAGTCGGCCTATCATAACTATGTTAAAACAGGAGCTGCTAGGATTTTCAATTCAAAACCTAAAAATATCAACAAATACAACCATGCGTTCAGTTTTTGTCGACATTTTTATGCTACCTATCTTTGCTTCCTGCCCACCGTGAGGGGGCATGGCGCTGCTTTAATGACCTTTGTTTACTGAGAAGCCAGCTTCTTCTGATCTTCTGATCAATCTTGTCTGCTTATATGACACAACAACGTGGACGATGTCTGATAAGGAAGAGATGTGTTCGAGTGCATTCGCAAGAAGCCCAGATGGATAAGTGTGCACTTGGTTGGTATAACTACAAGGAGGAAAAATTTCCTGGATGGAAACTTTTCCATCACTGATTCTATTCCGTCTATTTGCCAAGAATACCAGGATTTTCGGGATTTGTAATTTGCAATGGTGGCAATAATAGAAACGCCTTATGTTGGCCAGTTTTTGCTATATTTCTTTTGTTTATTGAATATTTACTATTTTTTTCTTTTATAAATATCTAGCTAATTATACGCACCAATAACACCGTGCGACAGGCAATTTTACACATAAAAAATCAATATATTCGCGAAGCCATGGGCCAAATATACGCAGTAAAAATGCGATTTTAGCTTTTCTCGCTGACGTCAGGATTTTTTAAAATGACTTTAAAACTTGAATAATATGAGTAATTCTGAAAATGGTTTAAAAAATTTAGTGCAATGTTCTTAGGAAAACAGTATGAAAGAGAAAATTCTGTAGAGAAAGAACAGATTAAATTTTTTGGTGCATAAGGTATTGAAAATGTCCTAAATGTTCTATTTTATCCTTGAATATCCTTGAAATTTTGCAATATTTATTTTGAAAAAATCTGTGTTCATATGGAAAAGTAGCTTATGTCGAAAGGCTGGCTTTAGTATAAATCGGCATTCGCAGCATATGATTGCGAATGACTCACTGGCGCTGAGCAGTTGAAGAACTTTTGGCAAATAAACCTGCGATAAATAGTTCCGATACTAGCAAGTCAACATTCTTATTAAGTCTCTTCAAAAAATTCCTTGTCGTTTAAGGAATAANCTAAAACCAAATTGCTTGCTTGGTGTGCTTTAAAATTTGTTTGCTTCAAACTGTTTCAATCTGCTTACTCAGAATTTTTAGAAATATTTTAGGTACGCAATTTTATAAGTATAGCCCATTAAATTGCAGGAGGATAAAGTGCAAGTTTCTTCAAGTGACTAAGAGTAATGTTGAATTTTTTATAATTTTTTTGCTGGCGGTCTCACGCATTTTCTTCCATACAAAGTTTCGTTTAGCCTTTCTACATACATAGATAGAACGTTTTTATTTACTTAGTAATTTTTACAAAAACTTATTTTAGCATTTCACATACATGTTCACGTGATTGATCACACTTTCCTCGTTTTACTCGACACGTGTTTTATAAATAGTCATTTATGGGTAAGTAATAGAAGCTTAGACACAAAAATTAACAATACAGTGTGGTTATTCACGCTTGTCTGGTTATCAGCTTAGCTGGCTAAAAATAATTTTTCTGCAGTGCATTTTGCTGTTGTACAACAATAAAATACACTACAGAAAAACTATTTTTACATAGACAAGCTGGTAACCAGGCAAGCGTGCACAACCACAATATAAAAATCACATATAAATGGAACTGTCGTAGTATGATTTCACCGCTACATCACATTAAATAAAAATCATTTACAATAATTGTTTTAAAAACATACATACGTACTCGTTCAAAGGAAAATAGTACCAGTAATTAAAAGTGCACAAGTATCAACTCTCAGTCTGATGTGCTTAACCGCAACTAAGAAGCGGATTTTCTAAAGCGTTCTTTTTTGTTACTTTTTTTTCTTTTTGCAGAGAAACTGGTTGTAACTAGTTATTTAGATCGGTTTTAAGATTTTACAATTGACTTTAATTTTGCCTGTGGTTTTTATATATTTTCTATTATTACTATTCTATATTCATTACATAACGCATTATTAAATTATCAAACCTCATATGGTAAATCAAATCAGCGTTGGATTGTGGAAAATCAAAACCCCCATTCATTCTGTGTAATTAATTTCAAGCCACGCTTCAATCCCGTGCCTGTATGTACCTATACCATGTATGTACATTAAGGTGGTCCAAAAAAGTGTAATGCTCTCACCCCATAGGATTGTTCTATAGCGAAAAAATATACCCCTATTTTTTTTTTTTTAAATCAAAAAATATTTAAAGGTCGCTCAAAGTCTGCCATATATTTTATATGGAAAAAAATACTTTTCGTAGAAATGGCACAGAATTCTTGAAAATCAATGATTTTCGATCATTGTTTATTTAACCATTTTTTGATACTAAAGATTTGTATGGGTACCCCCAATGGATTTGCGGGGATTTTTGGCGGACCTATAATATACAGTTACTGTAAAAAATGGTTAAGTAAACAATTGGGTATTATTATTGGGAGTCTCCGGAAGAGAAACAGAGATTTCCGATCGAAAAATATTCAACCTTATCAATTTTCACTTTTGGTTTCCATTGTTTTACTATGGGCGGCTGACAAATTTTCGGGAATTTTTTTCTGGCGAAACAAGGGATAAGGCAGATTGATTTTCAAGAATTCTATACGATTTCTGAGAAAATTTGTTTTTTCTTCATATAATATAC